GCCTGGAGCGAACGTGTAGGCCTAGACGATCAGTAAGAACGTATAGGTGTAGGCCCTACCCACCCAGCGAGTGATGCAAGTTTAGGTGGCGAGCTCAGGTGTAAGTGCGATGCGTGGGGAAAACAAACGCGTCGGTCAGTTCACATCTGGGTGTGATCCCGTCTGGGGCAAACATTGTATCGCTTCATCGAGTTTTACAACGTGTATGTGATCACATTCACGATAGTGGTTGATCTTTGACGCGACGGACAGTTTATTGATCTCAACTTTTTACTCTTGGTTGATCGGCTGTGCCCGCCCGGGTTTTTGTTTAGCAAATTATGATCTGAAATGCGGGATCTTAGCCGAATGTAGACCATCAGAGCGGGATCTTAAGGGTAACTTTTGTATAGTAAAAATTATGTTTTCCTAAAACAACGGGATCTTAAGCGAACCGGGATCGTAAGTGGCGGGATCTTAGGCGGAGACTACTGTACTAGATTTCTGATAGTATTACTACATACGTAGATTTTGGAAAGCCACTTGTAGACCCATGAATTCTTGTAGTGGACTCTTGCCAGATCTATCTCAGTGATTCCCCACCAACATAAGCCGTCTGAGCTTTTCTAGATGCATTTTTAGTGAGTTCTGGAAAGATTCTACATGTCCGGAAGCCCCTTAACGTAAACATCGGAGATTTGTGGAACTATTTTTTCTGTAAGATGAAAGGTCTTTGTGTATTAGTTATTGCTGTTTGTTTTGTGTAAGTTTCTGATATAGTGCACTCATAGTGTTTGTTTTTTTACTCCTGATTTCTGCAAAGAAAAAAAAGATGGCTTGTCTTTTCTTTTTGCTTTTCTTGTCTTACATTCAAATTTTTTTTTTTTTTTAAATCCAACATAGTCATCTTCTCATGAAAAAAAGTGATTCAGTCTAGCTTGCACGTAGCAAAGTAAGGGAGATGCTGAAATCTTTATGTATGTACAAATTTCACTATGTACGATTTTTAACTGTAAAAATATATTCATGTTCATTTGCAAGAAAAAATTGGAACCTGCAAATCTATTTGTTAAATGCCTGTTTTTGTGTGCGTACGAGACTGTCATTGTTTTGTTTTTTCTATTTTTTTTTTCTTCAGATAGATGACTGTGTAGCAGCGGTTCGAAGGTCTTTCTCTTGTCAGGTGAGATCATGTGAAGTAGTATGTTATGTAGAACTGTTGTTGATGTGGTTGGTGGAGGGGATGGTGATGACAGTATTTAATACAGGGGAGAAGGGAACCTTGTAATGACACTCAAGCAATAACAGTGATATAGCTTTCAAATGAAAAATAGATGATCTTGGAGTTTAATCTTTGAGCTCTCTCTCTCTTGCCCTTTTTAACTCCCACTGGAGTATAGGCCACCAACAACTTTCTCCAGCAAAGCCTGTCCTGGGCGTCCTTTTTTATCTTTGAGCAAGATGCCGTTACTCAAGCTCAACATAGAAGGGGGGGTGCTCTGCAGCAACCAACAATAATGTCTTTATATTGATTGTTGTTTCCTTTATAATTTGTTATATTGATCTTATTATGCTCTAACAGTGTAACTGGTTTTTAAAAACTTTCAGGGCACGAAAAAACCCTTTTGATATAGATGATGAGAGAAGACACAAAAGATAGCCTTCAGCACTTTTTAACTATTTATTGTGTGTGCTGGCTCAAGATTTTTTAGGGCCGGCTGATTGATTTTGATTACAGTAGTAGAACAGGAAAGAGTTGACCCTTTTCTTTATGGCACACGGAGCATAAACATCATTGATATAGCACGCTGAAAGATCGTATCAAAATGTGTCAGTTCCTTAACTCTTTATCTCCGGCAAGCCGCTCTCAGCTGCTCGCAGTCAGAACCGCTGTACTGGTGAGCCGCTGACAGCAGCTCGCGCATATTCCTTTACAACGACTTCAACATCAAATTATTTTTTGGCAGTCAGGTCTCTTTTACCTGGATTTCATTCATTACATGAAGACCTATTTAAATAGGTTCACTTGTTGTGATTTAATGACCAATTTAGTGGCGTTTTTGTCATTTGTAGATTTAGTACCAAAAAGGGCCCTGACATAGTGGGTTTACCCCTCTTGGAGATAAACATTTTAAAAGTAAACTTCTGCTGTCATTACACAATGGTTTTGAAGTTGCCATTGGTACTGATGGCAATATTTGTGACGCGTCATGGTGGAAGCAGGCGCCCGTCAATTTTTGTGCATGTGGAGTTACAGGTTTCATCTTAAACTTAAAGCCTGTCCATTTGCCTTGTTTTTTATTTTAAAAAATATCCCCACCAGCATAAGCCTTCTGAGCTTTTCTGGATGCATTTTTTGTGAGTTCTGGAAAGATTCTAAATGTCAGAAAGCCCCTTTACCTAAACATCAGAGATTTGTGGAACTATTTTTTCTGTAAGATGAAAGGTCTGGGTGTATTAGTTATTGCTGTTTGTTTTGTACAAGTATCTTATATAGTGCACTCTTACTGTTTGTCTTTTTGCTCCTGATTTCTGCAAAGAAAAAAAAAATGCCTAGAATCTAGTCTTTTCTTTTTGCTTTTCTTTTCTTACATTCAAATATTATTTTTTTTAATCCAACAGTTATCTTCTCATGAAAAAAAGGGATTCAGTCTAGTTTGCACGTAGCATCTGAAATCTATCATTTTCCAGCTTTGAAAGGTCATATCTAAAAAAGTAAAACAACAGCTTCTTTCAAACTTCCCAGGTAGGTTGCCTCAAGTAATGCAAAGAAATGCTGAATGTTAGTTATGCGTACACCTAATATAGAAGTGAAAATATAAGACATATACTGAAGTCAGGGGAGCGCTTTTTTTTCTCATATTTACATTTCGAAGGGGACAAAAAAAGCGCTGAAATGACTAAAAATCGTCTGTCAGTGCAGTATTTTCTTTTGTATCTGCTAACAGGAAGTCTATTCTATTATTTTGTAAAAGTGGATCGGCCGAGAATTTCGTGTCTTTTCATTACTGGATTGGAATAGATAGCAAGCCACTCGAGCTGTATTTTGCGGCTCTCGGTCCAGCGAAGCCAGGTCCGTGAGTCGCACGTGGTAGGGAAAGTGTTAATCAACATTTTAAAATAAAAGCAAATGTGTTTTTTAATGGACATGAAAGGTGTTGAGCCAAAATACAAAAATTTGATTAAAATTCCCAAACCTGCGAAAAAATGCCAGTTTCTTCACTTTCATTATTTTGACGAGTGCCTGATTTCACCATGCTGCCTCACATTTTGTTTCACTATTGTGCTGACTCACTGTGAACTTTGACTCAGTAAAAGCCAAGTGTACTGTAAAGAGTTCTTCGTCTCACCTCTCTGTGTTTATCTCTCTCCCCTCCAGGCTCCAGCAATTTTGGAGACCGTGCCGATTGAGGACTGCCTCTTCTACCCTCCGAAGAACATGGTGGACAATCTTGTCAAGCATGATTTTCTGGGAAGGGCAAAGGTGAATGGTTAAATGTGGTTAGCTCAAAGAGTTGTAGTACGAGAGCTCGTGGCAGTGACGTCGTCACATGTGTTAGACACAGGCGCCTTCTTGCGTTGAATGGCATGGCCGATGTGTCTCTATTCACATGAACACTCTGAGCCCCCAACCCACCTTCCACGTGCTGTAGTGCATTAAACACTTCCCTGCCTCCCACGTTCTAGTGCAAGCTTTTAGGTTTCTTTCCAAGACCCTCAAGATATCTCCATACGAGTCTCAAAAAGTACTCCCCTGTTTGTTGTTCTTTCCCTCAAGCTCAGCATCCCAGAGTGGGCACTCGCAGCCCCCATTCATTTACGAGGGTGAAGTCACTGCCTCAAGCTCCAGTATGATATCTAAACCTCTTTGAATTAGCTTCTGCTTTTATTCTCCTTTGAGAAGTGTAAAGTTGTTTTTTAATTGATGTCCTTCTTTTTTGCTAGCCAACACTAAGGGTCTTGAAACTTCTCAAACAAATTTCAGACACACCATCTGAAGTATTCAAATCCCAGTGGTTAGCATTAAAACTGGGTCTTTCACAGTTTGACACTCGTTTTGTTTTGTTTTCTATTCTAATGCTTCTTTATAAGTCACTCTGTCGCAAGTTGGATTTATTTTGAGGTTCTGATGATTTGAGTCGTTTGAATTGATAGGAACGAAGAATGATCTGTGCATGGTCTTCTCTGTTAGTGATGAAAATGTTGGGAGGTGTGTGTGTGTGTGGAGAGAGAGAGAGAGAGAGAGAGCTGATTTCAAGTGTTCCTTTTTCTGTTATATCTAGATTTGCTTGTTTATTTATGCAGGTCTCAACTCGTATTTTCCAGGTGATATCATCTGTACAAGAGAAAGATATTGAGTACGCAGTTGAACAGAAAGAAAAAGATGTTCTAGTGCCGGTATGTAATTGAAATAAAACCAATCAACCTTTGATATAAATCTGTACAATTTGGTGGTTGTGGTCTTTGTTTTGAATGGTTTTTCGATAAGATAAGAAACATCTTTATTGTCTAGATCAGTGGTTTTCAAACTTTTTTCGCCCACCGCCCCCTTTTTCACCCAGCCAAGTCCCAGCGCCCCCTACTCCGCCCCAACCATCAATACGACATAACGACATGCATAATATAATAACAATCACAAATAAAGAGAGAGCTCAAAAAGTAGGGTAGAAAGTAGCGTGCGTAAATTCTAATGATTTAGTTCTGAATATTAGTTGAGTCACAAATCACCATCATTACAGAGTTTTAAATTAAGCGTGTATGAGAGATAATAAAACACATTTTTCTCCAATCTTATGCAAGGGGATTGAGAACAAAATACTGTCATTTTATGCATATAGTTGTCATCGGTACTAAACGACCAGTGTTATTAACATCAATAAAAATAAAATATGTATTATCACATTTACAGAAGCATAACGCCAAGAAATAAATAAATAAATAAAAACGCCCGTAATCGTTGGTTTGAAAACAGATTGACATTATCATTATGAAACGTTTTCTCCCATCAACGTGCTGCAATAAAGTTGCCTGGGATTTGTATCAAATATCTCCATTGTAGAAAATAAAAATATTAAGTTGTTCAAATGTGAGAAACCACACGAAAGAAAAAGTATGCATGGATCTTAGTCTGTAATTATCATCGTCATCATCATCATCATCATCATCATCATCATCATCATCATCATCATCATCAGTTTCATCAACAGTGGTAGCACGTGCACATAAAAAACTCTGTTAAACAAGTGAATGTTTTGCTTTTTAAAAAAAGAGAAGAAAAAAAAAGAAAAGACACATTGAGATATCAAGTAAGAGCAAACTACGAAGTAAGCATGCGCAAATAAGTTATTGACACTACCCTAATGGGAAGGATGGACCTGCAAAGACGGAACCAACTTATTAACATCAGGTTTCAGATTGGTCAGAAGCAGACGCAAATCGCTACGTTTCGTCAGCAACCTGGTCACTGCACTGAATCCCCTTTCTACTAGATAGGAGGCGGGAAAAGAGATGAACAACAACTTGATCTTTTCCCACAGGGAAGGATATTTGTCTTGCACAACAGTTTTCAACCAGAATGACTGGTACGGCTTTTTGAACAATGGTTAGATTTCAAAGTCACATTTCATCGTCAGAAGCTCTTCTTCAATTGCTACTAGCAAGTTATCATCTGTTTCAGTGTTCAATGGGTCCAGTATCCAGTATTTGGACCAGTGCTTATAAAAAATCCACGCTACTTTCTACCCTACTTTTTGAGCTCTCTCTTTATTTGTGATTGTTATTATATTATGCATGTCGTTATGTCGTATTGATGGTTGGGGCGGAGTAGGGGGCGCTGGGACTTGGCTGGGTGAAAAAGGGGGCGGTGGGCGAAAAAAGTTTGAAAACCACTGATCTAGACAATAAAGATGTTTCTTGGACCAGTGCTCTTTACACTATATACACAGCCCTTAGCAAGCATTTTACAAAATCATGGATTGAATTATCATTTTTATGCCGATGATTCCCAAATGTATGTTATTGGCACCATTCAAGATCTACCAAACATGATTTCCATCACTAAACAATGTTTTTATGAAATCAAAAAGTGGATGACAGTAAACAAATTGAAACTAAACGAAGAAAAGACAGACATCATTCTTATAAAAAATCCACGATTAAATAAAGATCTGGAAAGTGTCAACTTTGATTTATATGGGCATATGACATCTGTAAAGAAGTTGTCAGGAATCTCGGTGTATATATTGACCACCACTTATCAATGGGCTCGTTTGTAGAATCTCTGTCCAAATCCCTTTATTTTCAGCTGAGAAGGATAGGCCTAGTTCGAAAGTACTTAAGCGAAGAGACCACAAAAACACTGGTAACATCTCTTATCCTATCTAGATTAGACTATTGTAACTCACTCCTGGCAGGTCTGAACAACAAATATTTGAATCGTTTACAAGTAATTCAAAACAATGCCGCTAGACTGATAACAAGATCTAAAAAACGAGACCATGTCACTCCATTATTAAAAGAACTGCATTGGCTCCCTGTAAAAGAACGAATAATATTTAAAATCTGCGTCATGTGTTTCAAATGTGTAAATAAAACTGCTCCTTTTTATCTACAAGAACTTCTCAGTATATATAAACCAGGGAGAAACCTAAGATCATCGAACGATAACACCCTACTTGTGACACCTGTAAAATCATACAAATCATATGGAGAGAGATCTTTCTCATATCTTGGTCCATTTATGTGGAACAGATTACCCATGAAACTAAGACAAATAAGAACACTTGATAGCTTCAAAAGACATCTTAAACATTTTCTGTTCCTACAGGCCTATCCTTCATAAGCTTTTAACGTTATCTTTCATTACATTTGTTCTTTTCCTATGTCTGGATGAAAATAGTCTCTGTGTGTGTGTGTGTGTGTGTGTGTGTGTGTGTGTGTGTGTGTGTGTGTGTGTATGTGTGTGTGTGTGTGTGTGCATTAATGTATATTGCTTGAGAAGAAAGGAAGTAGTAAGAAAGGTTTTTGAAAAATGGGTATTCCAATGTAAAGCGCATTGAGCTACTTTTTTTGGAAATGCGCTCTTTAAATGTTATATATTATTATTATTATTATTATGGAATTTCCAGTTTAAAAATATCAGGAGGCTAAACCTTGTCTTCATATCAGCGTGCAAATCTCTGAGGTGGTTGCTATATATATTTGTAGTTCCTCGTCAGAAATGCGCCCTTCTTTCAGTGTCTTCGTCAAGCTAGGAAACTGAGAAATTTTCTTCTGCCAATGTTTCGGCGGATCATTTCCAATTTCGACAAGAATGATGAAAGCCTTGATCAGGTTGGTGTCATCCCCTTGCAGCTGAAAGTTGAACTGGTTGAACTTTGTGAAAAGATTTGTGAGGAGCGCAATGTTGTTCTTGTGTTCTTTCAGTTTATTGCAGACTATAATAATCACTGTCTGTTTCTTGAAAAAAGCTCCAGCACAGAGTCAAACAGGCAGAACAATAATTGTGTTCAACAGTTTCCTTTCGAGAGCCACCAGACTTCAATGTGCAAAAATAAGCATTGAAAGTACTCGTCATTTTCAGTCGCGAGTTCAAAGCGTGGACTTTGATATTGTTCACACACTTGATGCCAATGACCAGTGTGCCATGCAGACTATCATTCAGGTTTTTTACAACCAAATTCTGTCTGTGAATGACACAGTAAACAGTAAATACTCCATGGACTGATTTCTTCAAGAAGTTCATAAATCCACGTTTCCGACCTGCCATCGACGGTGCCCCATCTGTTGCACAGGCATCTGTATTGGTCAGAGGGATCTGTTTCTCCTCGAAAAATTCTTGGACCACTTTGAAAATGGACTCGCCTTTGGTATCTGTTTCCGACATTTTCGCAAATATAACAATTCTTGCATTATTTCCTCACCTTCTATGAACTGATATCCAGTTAAAGGCTGAGCTCACGTCCTTTCAGCATTTTGCACAGTGATTCCTCAACATTAGCTGACATCTCATCTAAACGTTTTTGAATATGTATTTGCACTTAGTGGGAAAAATTTCAACACAGGCTCCGGGGCACGTTGCAGGACTGTGCTGACCACCTCTCTTATCGCAGGCAATATGAGGTCCTACCGATAGCATGGTGTTTCCCTGCCTTTGTAATTAGCTGAGATAAATTATATGTTGCTCGTAAGCCTTCATCAGCTTGATCGACGTTGGCTGCAAACATCGGTTTCACTGATTTTCATTTCTGAAAATTGATCTTTAGAGTTTTGAAGTTTGCCACATCTTTGTCAGATTTGTCGTGATGAATCTTCTTTATATGGGATTTGCGGGCTGGGAAAGAAAGTTCTTAGTTATAAGTGTAAACTATGCCTAAGCTATCAATTTTTGTTTTTGTTTTTGTTCTTTTATGTGGCTTTTTTCCCCTCATCATGTTTTATGTTGCATGTCATGAAAATTTCACACCGCCCCTTAGCGCCCATCAGCGCCCCCAATCGCCTAGTTTCGCCACAGCGCCCCCCAAACTCTCGCCCTTTTTGAAAACCACTGGTCTAGATCATAGCACATTGGTTTGGTGTTTTACCACATAGACACATACTCACACACATGCATACACACACTTTCCCCACCCACACACACACACAAACATGCACACACAGACATACGCACCGCACAGGTGCACACCCCATGGCGCACCGGCAGTGGAGTTTTAGTTGTAAAGGGGGGTTCCCCGCCGAGCGCCTTATCACGTCGGGGTCACGGGGGTCAGCTCCCTGTCGCCGCTCTGTCTGGGCTGACTCAATTTTTGGTACTTTTCAACGTACAGTATTAGGTGTATCCTTGTATTTATGATAATTATCATTTAGTGCACCCAAAGCAAACATTTCTGCTCATGAGACCAAAAAAACGACAGACATTGTAACTTGTCTGGTTGTTTCATTAGACGCGCTGAAGTCGGCAATGCTAAATTGTAAAATTTTTTGTACGTCTGAATGAAAAAAAATCAATGTAAAAAAAAAGCCAGACAAAGACTGTCGAACTTTTGGAACATGAACGAAATAACATTGGTGCAGATTCTCAGAAAAGCTGGTATCTGCGCGTATAATAGGAAGCTGTAATTTTGCAACTTTATCCATCTGGCACACAAATTCACTATGAAGTAATTCCTCCAAATACAACTTTATGTGTCTAATATAATGAGGAATATTCGCATATTTTCTCTAAAGCTTATCAAAATTACCCTGATGTCTCTCTACGAAAAAGTGCAAACCGATATTTAGTGCAAGAATACATCTACAACAATGTAATACACAAACAGTAGACTATCTGTTACACTCCATAAATTATTCCTTATTTTTCTTTAAACGTTAGATCTAGGTTTTGTAAGTTGACAGGATAACAGGGATGACTTCTCGTAATTGAATTATAAGAATAATTTCTAGCTTTCCAGTGACACTGAATCAGCACCAGGCTTTTCCAGCTTTTATTTTCGTTTCTATAGCCATTTGCAATAACTGACAATGTTCTTATTTCCTTACATTCATGAGTGTCTGCGCATATGTCCGACACAAAAACTAAGAATGAATGTTAGCTGTCATTTTTTAATTCCATACAAGAAGTTCATCTCTACCCATGTATTAACACACTTTTGTAGGGGCTTTTTAATCTCATAAAATATTATTCTTAGTTGTATGCAGGCTGCCACAGACACAGCATGATTCATGAACAAAGGCAGAGTAACTTTCTCTTGTTAATAGTAGAACAAGAGCTAACGCTAAGTGTCTTTAGTTAAAAAATGCAGATGTGCATCTTTCTTCTCTTATAACTTGACTATTACTATTCGCGCAGATGTAAGATTTCTCATGGTAAAAGACACGATATTCGTAGTCAGTTTAACACAGCTTTTGGAGAGATCTGTCGTGCCTTTTTAAAATAAACAATCATTTATTCAGAAGTATGTAACTAAAATAGGACAAATTGGGTACTCTACAAACACTTGTCTTGAACAAAAACTAAGGCACAGAAATTAACCATTCAAAAACAGAATAAATCTCAAGAAGTTGAGCTTTTTGTACATCCCCGTAATGGTTTGCTGTGTGGAATGGGGAAGAAGTTATATAGTTTCAAATGTAGACAAAAATGCGAACTTCTTAACCGACACCGGCAAAGTCGCTTCAAGGCTCATTAACCCCATGACCCCGAGCCGGGGAGCTCCAGCGGGCTGCTGAGTCACGCTAACTAAAGGTAACAGAATCGGGCGAAAAATGACGCCGTGACCCATATACACACGCACTCTTCCACCGCACATCCTCTCTTCCACCCACATCTGTGCACATAATAATATAATAGTATGCTTTCACTTATAAACAGGCTCACAGTCACATGCATAGTATTAGTTTAAAATGATATAAACAAAATAATGTTAAGCTAGTTACGTACTAGGTATTCTGATTGTAACTCTATTTAGAAGCTGAATACGACATGCAGGTAAACTTTAGTATTGCACACATAAAATGATGGAGCGTTTAAGTTGATCAGTCAGTATCATAATAATAATAATAATAATGATAATGAAGATTATTGCTATAGCGCCCACTCCCGTGGAAACACAGCTCTAGGCGCTCTACAATACTTTACATGAATGCATATACTAACAATATTCCAGCACGCAACACACACGCACATACACACACACACACACACACACACTCACGCACACATAACACGCACACATTTGCACACACATCTTCGCCAAACACACACACACACACCCGCACACACACACATCTACTTGCTTATCACACACGCACGCTTACACATCTTCACGAAATGAGCACATATATAATAAAATAATATACACAATGCAATTCACAAAATACATGAATGGATACATAGTCATTTACATAACATTGTACTGAACATGAATCTACTGACATGAAAATGATGTCAGCAATACAATCATTGCTTTGGATTCTGTGTTATTGTAATCACTTTGTCTGTTTCCCCATAGGCAAATGTACGAGCTGGACACTCAGTGTCTCTGCCAGGATCTCCAAAGGCACTTCATGGGCAACCACTCCGTGGTCAGTCTGGAGAGAACATCCGACTCCCCCCTCGCCCATCACGACCACCACCAAGATTACAGCATGGGTCGCCTAGTCCTGGGTTGAGGAAGAGCAAAAGTGTGGAAAATGTTCTTGACTTTGATACAGAGCATGTTTATGAAGATGTGGATTCTGACTCTGCCCCAACGCCTGTGTCCGACGTATTGCGGGGGAGGTCTGCACGTGATAGTCCCAGCTTTCCTGGAATGAGGAAAACAGGAAGTGGTGTACAGCCGAATGGCTCAGCAGCAAGTGGTTTATCTACAACTGGTAAACCTTCAGAAGTGAGAGCACAGTCTCAAGGTTTCCAAGTGGGTCGTCAGAGTCATTTATCTAAACCCCCAAAGGGAAGAATGGATGATATGCTGCTAAATCCTGCTAATGTACGTTTGTGTATGCCACAGGTTCAGACCCAACAGAACCGTTCACTTCATTCCCAAAGTGTCCAGGGCTCTTATGAAAAGAGAAAAGCTGATCTCACCAGCACATCCTCTAATGACTCGCACAGCCGAGCTGTTCCGTCCGTCCTGTCTAGAGTCCACCCTAGTTTGTTGATGGCAGGGAGTCTGGTACAAAACGATGCTGCTGAAAGATCCAGAAAACCAAGCCCAGAGCAGGGTAGTCAGAACAAATATCCTGGTGTTTCGAGTACAGTTTCCCCTCCATACTCTGCTGCACAACCTATCACAACTTTGAAGTCAACACAGAGCTCTGTGTCACCCACACAAGGGTCAAATACCACACAGAAATCTCCTAAACCACCCAGACCTCCTCCTCCAAGATTTAAAAAATGAATACAAATCTGAAAATGCTTAATGTAGTCATGACTTTGCTAATGTTATGGGATGTTGTACTATTTATTTGAAAGATAATTTATTTTAAAATCATTTATAATTTTACAGACTGTGCTTTCTTGTCATGTTATGCTCAAAGGGAAAGTGAAAGTGTTATGATAAGGTTTCAGCTGTGGGTGAGTGACTTGAACCTTTATTTTATGACTGTGAGATTGTACACTGGCCACAAATGATTTCAGTCCCTGTGTAATTTGTCTGCTCTTGCCACAATAATAAGGTGGATTCGGAATGCGATGTTGTGCTAGAAATTATGCTTATGGATGGTTTTGGACTTGAAGGATGATGATGCAAACCCCATGGTCTGCCTGACAGTCTACCATAACATTGTTTTCTGCCATAAGACCTGCGTACGGTAATTTTATAAACTTATATACCACCGCTCCCACACCGTGATGCATTCATTTTTTAAAATTAAGGGTGCCAGTCACCGCCCCCCGCCGCCCTTGAACAATCTACAATCTACTTCCTCAAAAACATTTTTACAATTGTCAATCAGCCAGTGATAGTCCCAAGTCTGTATAACACACAAACGGAAAATGTTTAGTATTGCGGATCGCAGTAGACTAGTAGTCCTTCAAGTGAAACGGTTGTCAGACTAGTCTGGTGGTAGACAGATGGGCATCAAATGGGCACCAATGGATGAAAACGGCAATGGTTACAGGTGCTATGATAGTGCAATACTGTGAGTGACAATCATCTATTAAATCTATGCCATCTCAGCACAGCCTCACCCGTTACCTCTGACATTTTTTGTCCTTTTCCCAAGAAGACAAGGTGCGCATTCCTACCTTCCAAGGACCAAAGGGGTGTTGAAAAAAAAAACAACTGATGCTGGTGAGGACCAAACTTCAAATCATCAGGTTGAAAGGCGAACATTATGCCTCTTTAGCTACTGAGCCCCCTTGGGACCTTTCTTCATTGGTTATTTTGTGCGAAAGATGAAAGTCTGATCCTGGGATTAGAACTTTGAAATTTTGGAATCATGTCATAATGTATGCTAGTATATATGTGTGTGGTCAGATTTAGAATTGGGGGGGGGGGGGGGGGGGGTGGATGGAGGGGGGGTTGTATGCTAAGTGAGACAGAGGAGGAGAATTATCTTTGTGGGATAGGGTTTGTATCTCAGCTATCAGAGAAATAATGTGTGCTACATACCTGTTCTACTGCACAGTGAAAAGCAGAGACTCAAATAGTTTGATCTTGTAACTCGCATGCCTATCAACCAACCTGCTCTAAAAGTGTACAGAGTGAGAGTAATACTCTGGAAAAGATGGATTGACTTGAGGAAGTAACGGACACCTTAAAATTAAAAGCTCACAATTTCCTGCTTCAAGAAGCTTTCTATTTTGCCAAGACCCAGCGCCTTTACATTCCTGAGTCGCCTCATGGTACAAATAGCAGATTAGTTAAAGTACAAGTTTTTGTAATTTTGTGGGATTAGTAGAAATAGTCAAGCTGTATCAGACTAGAAAACCTCCCATGGGAGGATTTCTGTGCTAATACTCATGGATATAGTCATGATGATGTCTACTATTTAAATGCTTGCCTTTAGTCTTGAAATCATGATTGTTTTGATCTTTGAAGATTATGCTTATTCTTTCTCTTTTTACATTCTGCAAGTAATGGAAGTGTAACAGTTTACTGTTTTTACGATCACGTTTTTATGTTAATGCTGTTGTATTTGTATGATACATTTTTTTTGCAGTGTTTCCTTGTTGCTGACAATTGTTACCTGAATCATTCCTGAATCATTCCACATGTTTCGCTCATTCCTCCATCAGAGTTTACTGTTGAGCAGGAATTTGCACTATACAAATGCTATTACTATTTATTATTATTGTCATTATCATTACCTCATGACTTATTTATATATACATTTATAAGAGTGTCCTGGTGTGGCTAAAGAGAAAGAAAAGAAACCAAGCATTAAGAACTGTAAAATATTGGAATAAAGCATTAGTCAAACCATCAAACGGTGTATGTGCCTTTTGTGATATTGTTGTGTAACATCTTCAGTACAGACCTGTGATACTCATCACGGTTTAGACTGTCCTGTACATGATTTGTGTTTTGTGATATTCTTTTCTGTATCTGAAATGTAAATCATATGCATGCTTCTACTTCGGTCTTTTTTATTTTGGTAGGTGATTTAGACCCCCATCAACAGAATTTAGATCATTCAGGAGGCGGGCTTCAACCCTGCCTTTCAGGGCCAACCCGGGCTGAGAGGGATACAATTATCCAGTAGAAAGATCGAGATACTTGATAAAAATTCTCCCCAACGGTGAAGCAAAGTCAGGTCCTCAGTATGAGAAGACAAAGTGCCTTACCATTACACCACAGACTGCGGTTGCTTCATTCTAATTGTGTATGTTGGTATTAAAGGTATGATAGAGTGATAAAGTGCAATTTATGATGACATTAGCTATTACTGTATTCCTGTATCTTTTTTGATTGAGTATAAATGTAAGTGTGCTGTATTATGATGTAACAGTGACCTTTCTTGCCGTACTGCTTTACAGGAAACAGTCATTTTATCAAGTAGTTTAAGTTTGTAACTTCTTTTTAGCATTATTTCCTGTTTACCCAAATGAAATGGTTGCCATTTTTTTCCCTCTCTGTACCGGTATATTTTAGTTTCACGTTTAGTTAAGATAAGATAAGATAAATTTTTATTGTCCAGATGCTGGCTCATTGGTTTGGTGTTTCACCACACAGACATACACATACATGCATGCATATGGGCGTTTTAGTGTACACGCCTATACACACATACTCTCTTACTCTTACTTATCCTCTCTGCCATACACTCGTGCACTCACACACACTTAATAATATTATAATATACCGTACCTGCACTCATAAACAGACCCACAACGATGCTTAATATAAAATAAAGAGATGTTGGTCGGCAGGTGGCTGTTAGAGCTTGTATCTGATGTGGTGGAGGGGAAAGAGGGGGGTGGGGGGCGAGCAGGCACAAGCATTTCAGGCTTGGAAAGTCGGCAGAGGTACAGGTGTATCGCAATCATTGTCACCCTTTCCTTCGGGTTACAGGACAATGAAAGGCTAGTTAGATGTAGATATGTAAATGTACATAATGAATTGCTCTCTGGTCGGTGGAAACAGACGTTGCTGTATGCTGTGCCATACATTGTGACGCTCATGTTCCCATTTTTTTGCTTTTAATTATAACGAACACTAAGATTCAACTAAAGTGAAAGTCAAGCCCAACGACTTCGTTATTTATAGATCCAAGTATCGCTGCATTAAAATATGATTGAGATAGTAAGCGTTTAATTAGTGATGGTAAAATTGAACTTCTGTATCATTCTTTGTTACAAATCAAATGCATAGGTCATTTACTTCTTACTGGTATTTTGATTTGATGGATGGTGGTTCTCCAAAAAGATGAAATTATTTTTCCCAGTGCAAGCGATATTGCATCATTCATCAGGGTAAAGGAATGGAGTTGTTGAAATATCTTGTGCTTTTTGTATTAATCGATTCAGTTTTACTTTATCTTAATGTCTTGTGTTTCCGGCCAATGCTGTCCTACAGAAGTTAATCATATCAACTATGGTTGAATTTAAATAGAATGTGGACTGCAGAAGGTTGAGACTTTTAATAAGCAGGTGCTGTATGCTTTGTTATTCTACAAATAAAATGTATCATCACTATGTATGCTCTTCCTTTTAGGAGGCCAATTTTGTTAGAACATCCCTCTGTTATTTTCATTTTATTTTGGAATGGAATTTGAGATATTCTTGATTTCAATTTTCAAGCTAGTTGTGTAGGGCCTACATATCTCAACAGATTTCAATTGTGTAGCTTCCTTAAGGTTGTCATGAGTAGGTATGTACTTGTCTTTCTTGCTGTAGTCAAATTTTGACACTCTTTTTTTATGACATTAATGTAGAAAAACTTAGTTTTACTTTGAAATATCCTGAAGGATTTTTTTTTTTTAGCGTTTTTTTGGGGGTGATCAGAAACAGTTCTTGAGCATTGCATTGCAATTCTTTGAAAACATGGACCCTACGCTTGATCCAAGTTACATTTCACATTTCCTTTGAAATACATTTTTGAAAAAGCATTTTTTATTTCTTGAGGAAAACACATAGGGATTCTTTTTAAAAAAACTATTTTTAGTTTGTTTCTTTCCTCCACTACTTACACTCTTGTTTTGCTATTTTCCTGTTTCCTCGATGTGATCACATCTATGGGTACACTGACGAATGCCAAGCACCTTTTTCTTATTCACAGCAGTTTCGAGATAAAAAGGCATCATAACCATGTAAAAAAGGAGTTCTTCCTAAATTAGAATTCTAATTTATTTTGAAAATAGTCACAATTTCACTTTGATTTTTTCACACAAATAGGATAACTGATCAGGCCATCAATGTAGCAAATAAAAAAATTTGGCTCCAAAAATGAAAAAAGGCATTTTTCAGCTTACAGCAAATCTGTTTGGGATCTTTTTAGATTGTCTGACAATAAAACTTAATAAATTATTTGGTCAAAACTGTAAGTTTTTGCCTTTTCAATAAATCTGTGTGCATTTAATATATGTGTTCGTGTTTGTACGTACATGTTTTTTTTGTTTGTGTGTGGATGTGTGCGTATGCATGCATGGTTGCGTACATGTGTGTGTGTGTTGTGTGTGTGTGTGTGTACGCTCGCAAGCATACTGGTATATGTGTAGACCGTACCTCATTGTGCAGGACTTTCCATGGTCCCCTTTGCTGGTAGAGGGAACTTGTAATCAGTTAAGTTTAAAAATTCAAATTACGTGGGGGAAAAGAACAACAACAGTAGCTTTTAATAAAAGGCCATATTTTTGTAAAGGCTCGGTGTGCGCCCTTTGATGAGGAGTCAATGTATAGGTTATACGGGTGGGTGATTGGTGGGTGCTAACTGTAGTTTGGTCGTTCTCTCCTGTCAAACATCTATTATCCTAATCTCTCATCCTTCTTTTCTTTGTATATTACTCTCTGGTAACATCTTTTATCTTCAGCCCCTGTATGACTTATTTATGTTGTAAGTGCCATAAAACACTTATCAAACTAAAACTAAAACTAAAAGGTTATAATACTAAACTTATTATTTGACTATTATTTACTCTATGTTTTTCTATTATTTTGTTTATTATTATTTACCTGTAGCATAGCCTGTTTGTTTAACAAAGACAAATCATATAGAGGGCCTCATACACTGAAAGCGTGGCCTATAATTCAATAATACCGTACATCTTGTTAATGTATCAAGTCTGGAGCAAACATTGATGATCATGGTACCCCATTCCATCATATTGTCAGTCCTCTTGAAAAATCAGCTCCTTTTTTCTGATTGTATTGTTTATCATAAAGCTGTTCAGACCATCTTTGTATGTAGTTCTGTCTTTTTCTGCTTTTCTTTTCCTCTATATCTCCAAATAATTTCTTTTGTCTGTTCCTGATTGTTCTGATTAGAGACCTTCCATATCCTGTCATTTGGAGCACCTCTTTGGGGGTTTTTTTCCTCTTTGTGCATGAGACTTTGAGCCTTCTCCCAAGACACCAAATTTCGGTGACATCCATTCTTCTTTCTATGTCCTTGATTAGAGCTCAGCTTTTGCATTGATACAACAACAAAAAAAAACACGTAAACGTCAGGGTTTTTATTAGCTGTTTTCACTGTTCTTTTTTTGTTTCATCTTTTGTTTCTATAGAAATTGCGAACGTTTTTTAAAAAAAATCTCAGTGTCATTTTTTGCATCTGGTGTAGGCCTTACTGAGTAACAAAGTTCGTTAAAACTGTTGAGCTGTTTTATTCTTTCGTTTTCACATTATAGATTACGTGATGCTGCATTGATATCATCCCTTTTGGAGATTATCAGGCAGGGATTCCGTTTTCATGGCGTTCAGTTATAGCCCACTAGAAAAACGAGAAAAAAGAAGATCATTTTTTTTTTTCAAAGAAGGCATAAAAACATTGATCATAATATTATATATACATGTACTAGTACAGCGTTTACAAAATAAAGTGCGTGGACACTTTCAAATTTCAAATGGCTATATTTTCATACAGTTGAGCTGATGCACTTTTTAAGGACCCCCGGGGGAGTGTTGAGTTCCTGCGTGCTGTCGGCATCGCTGACCGCTTATGAAGCCACAGCGCCAGAAGAGAGAGAGAGAGAGAGAGAGAGAGAGTTGAGCTGATGAGAATGGAACCAAAAAACTGATTTTAAATGCATTTCAGTAGACCTAAATACTGCGGTGATTGGTGAATGCTCCAGTTTTATTTGTTCCTTCCTTCCAGTCAAACATCTTATATCATCCTTATCCCTCCTCCTCCTTTCTTGTATATTGCTCTCTAGTAATGTTGTAAAACGCGAAGAGCATGCTATAGAGCGGGAATATGTGTTATATGAATGCTATACATGTAGTAACACCTCTAATCTTCGAAGCTTATGAGATGCAAGTGCCGTAA